GCGGTGGCTCAAGCCCAACGGCCTCTGCCAGATTGCACACATTGCACTCTGCATGCTTGAGCTGCAGAGTGGGGGGAGTGCGTGTGAATAGCTGGAGCCCTTAAGAGCCGGTTGCCCCGGTGCGTGCCCCCATGTCTGGTAGCTGTGCTCGTAGCTATGCAGCTTGGGCGGTGTGTGGGCAGAACTTGGTGAATCACACTAGTATTTAATTCTAATTACGTTTAATTGTTGATTTATTGTTTTTATATAGTAGCTTCTTGTTCCTAGTAGTATGGCCAGGAGCCCCTAGTAGCGTCTTTGCAATGTGCAAAACTCATGAATGGATTTGTGATCGGTTTACCTCCCATATCCTAATCGTTAGTTCTCACTACGTGGCTGCAGCAGCAAAATCTCCTAAATGGCTAATTGACTCATTGGTGATGATATACTCAGAGGCTTCAACAATTCAGTTTTCTAGTCATATCCTGGGTCAAATGCTGGAGCCAGAGCAAGGCAGTTCCTCTTACATTTCTAGAAGGATTTTACAACCTAAGCACCCCACCATGTTCTAAAAAAACTAAAGAAAACACGTCACAAACATCACTGTTACGACCAAATGCGCAATAACGCATTGTGGCATGTCCGACCTCTGATCTTCTTCACAACCTCTGCAGCTAGAATAGACATCAGTGGGTCCTCAGTTGGAGTCTTGAGCGAGGTAGCAAAGAAGGTATTGTTGCTAACTGTAAAGCAGCTAGCAAGTAAGAGGTAGTGAAGGCATGTGAAAACCAAGATTCTAATGGTCTTTAATAGGCTCGGGGTAGGAGAGAAAGCTTTGAAATCAATGTTTCCAGTTTCAACATGCCAAAGCTTCATTCCGCGCAGAAAGACAAGCATATCCCCACACCTGAAAAGCGGCAAACTCAATCCAATCAGCTTGGGCATCAGCCATGGTGTTTGATCATGGAGCTTCTCAGCCGGCCACCATTCGTGAAATTGCATACGGAGTCAACCTCAGCCAAGTTACTCGCATGCGTTACATGGCACACATGCATTGGGTTCGCCGCTTCTTCGGGGATCCAAATCTAAGGTGCGATTACGAGGCAGGGGCTCTTCCGTCTTGTACTGGCTAAACTCTGCCATGACCTGCAACAAACTCTCACGCCGGCATCATCTCCAGAATCACAAGCTGTTCGCGAAGATATCTGCACGCCTGTGCAATCTCCTGCTCCTGATCCACAGGTTGCTGCTGCTGGCCTCATGATCTGCCGGTTAAAGTTGGCTAAGAATTTTCTACAAAGGTTTATGCAGAAGACCTGCTCAACACGAACCTGAGAAGCAAGACCTATGACCTATGCCATAAGCGCAATTCGTTGTTTCCATTTACGTGTTTTTGCAATCTTCCTGTTGTCATGACATCCAGAAATCATCCTTTCCTTCCTCCAGCCCCCTGCCCTTCTTCCACATCTTGTAGAAAAATATGTGCAATCCTCCAACGACGAGCACCATCAGGAAGAGAAGCGTCCGGACCCAGCTTGCCGTCTTTTGTTTGGTGACCTCAACATCCTCAATCCTGGCTCCAGCGCCAACTTGCGAGTCTTCAGTCTACTCACCCTCTCTTCCTCCTCCTGCCCCACTCCCTCGCCATAGGCATCCCTTGCAATGCACCAAAGAAGGGCGATTGCACTCTTTGACAAAGGTTAATGCCTAATCCGCTGCGTTGTCCATTGTAGCTTCCGGACACTTCCTGCACCATAGATGGAACGCCGCTGGGGTGTCCAAATGGTAATGGAAAACTCAAAACTTTTCTCGCGTATACGTCATGACCCAGCCAAACCATTCAGTTTTCATTCAGTTCTACCTTTGCTTGACAGTGGCAAACGCTTGACCAAGCGCATAATTGCATTGCTGCTGAAATGGACGAGGGTTGCTCTTTGATCCAGAACGTACAACCATCCTCGATTCATACTCTTAGTGGCCCACGCCCCGGCTCCTGAATCTCGAGGACACTGTATCGGCTTCAATTAGCCGTTCAACTTTCCCAACTCAAATTTCGTGTTGTTGGGCAGGACACGACGCTTGCAAGTTCCTTGGGGGAGTCACGTCACGACTTTGGACGTTGGCCCTTCCCGAGCTCTTTCTTATAGACTTCCACCTTGTTTTCGCCACATTTGTCTGGAAAGCCTTTCAAACCCGTCCACGATTGTTGGTAGCAAACAAACTGGAATGAGGTTTGGTCATGCTGCTCGGTAATCGATTCTTGATTTGATGTCTGGCACGAAGCATGTGTGGAAGTACTCCTTCCTTCCGAGGACATCACAGCATCACATGAATCAACAGCATCATTGCGTCACCAATTCTTCCTTGTAGCGAAAAAACAAAGTCTCTCTCTTTCAAACAGCTTGCCTAATGATGAAAGGTGGCCCTTGTTCCTGCAAAAATTCCACCTCACCTCTAAACAGGGGTTCTCTGTCGTCACTTGGGCTGGTTCTTCCCGCGGTGCATGCAGGGCGGCAACATTTTTCGTATAAGCAACGGGGTAGCTGTAGCTGTTGGAATTATCCATATTGATCACTCCAATCAGCCGTCTCTGGCCGTCCCTGAGTAGGCTCCCAAGCAGGACATACAGAAACCGGCTCCTCTGCTGGAATGTCAAGATAGGCTAAAACCACCACTCCACTTCCAAGCGCCACTTTAGCCGTCTGGCATGACCTTTGGCAAGTCACGGTGCCACAGCCAGCATGGCTGGATTCATTCATCCATCCATCTATCCATCCATCCACTTTTGCCTCTCAGAGAATAGAAAGAAACACGAGAACCCGGAAGTGGGTGGTTGTCCGTAGCTCAGGCCAAAGAGCCCAAGAGTGACCATCACGGGTCCGCTACCACGCAGAGGAAACTTTCACTCCAAAAGGGCCTGCGTTCTGTTTGCGCGCGTCGTGACAGGCCTGCGCTTACTACATGTAGGAACGGCTTGATTAAAGCCAATGAATCGTCTACATTGTCAAGACCCACGCGGCCCACGCGTTCTGTACTTTCCAAAGCGAAGCTTCGATAGCTAGCGGATCCCCGCATAGGGCGCGCCCTCTTCCGTAGAACACTTTCCCCTTGAAAAAGACGGCGGTGGGTCGCACGGAGCGAGCAAACAGCTCGGACCAGCGTGGAATGCAACATTCGACCAACAATGACCGGTTGCGCCCCAAGCAAACATAGCCAAACGCCGTTCCACCTCTGCCAGAAGGAAAAATCAGGTAGGGTTGCTGCTTTAAAAAGACCACCGGGCTCAATTCCTTTTTCCCCCCTTTTGTATTCTAAGCACCTCTGCACAGCCATCAGCTTCAAAACCAAACCTCCTCAAACACAACATAGCGTTGCTGCTGCTGCTGCTGCTGCTGCAGGAGTAGGAGTAGGAGTAGGAGGAGTAGGAGTAGGAGTAGGAGTGAGTAGTAGGAGTAGTACTAGTAGGAGTAGTACTAGTAGGAGTAGTACTAGGAGGAGTAGTACTAGCAGGAGTAGGAGGAGGAGTAGGAGTAGGAGTATAGGAGTCGTAGTTGTCGTAGTAGTGGTAGTAGTTGTAGTAGTCGTAGTAGTAGTTGTTGTCGTCGTAGTGGTAGTGGTAGTGGTAGTGGTAGTGGTAGTGGTAGTGGTAGT